TAATAACCATTAGCTACATAGCTTTCATCATCTTAGCTTAGTTACATGCCTACATCACCTCTTTCTCAGATGATCCATGCTGGGACTGCCCTGGGTTTTTATACTCCTTCAAGCTTTCTCTGCATTTCAAAGCATTTCGTACATATATTAATGAAATCTGTGATCCTCTCAGATTAGACAGACCGAATTTAGTCCCATGTTCACCCATTCAACTAACTTAGGGACCCAAAGGCCAAATTATTCTCCCCAGAGGTCGCACAAGGGCAGCTTTGGGCAATCGAATCATCTCACTTCCAGATTAGTTCAACACCACCGTCACGATAATTATTTTATCCCACAGAATGCAGAAAGGCAATGGATATTACACGGTTAAAACTCGTCTACAAATATTAAAACAAGAGAACGGACTCTAACAGTTCGTTTCTAGCAGAATCATTCTATTTATCTGCACTTACTTAGAAAAGGCAATCCATTCTGTTATCTGAGCCATTCACTTACTAGAAGCGAATAAGAACCAAGTAATAGTTTATCCATTTAAGTAGTAAATATGTGTGAGCGCGTGCACACGCTTGCGTGTATAGACAAGATCCATATCCTTTCCTCCGCCTGCTCAAGAAAGGAGTGAGTTTGATGCTGGTAAAACGTTCATGCTCATTGCAAGGTTGGACTATTCAGTCCACATTTTCATCAGGCCCTACTATGCTGTATTCCTATGCTTTACTGTCGTATGATCCTCTCAGCCGTGACTCCTGCCCTGTGCAACAGAGTTTAAACGTGACCAAAGATGCTTACATAAAATCTCCATCTATCAGGATTGAAGAACGAACTCAGTGTTTACATCAAGAGTAACAAACGACAGCAGGAAAGGAAGAGATTAAAAAAGTGAATGCAAGATACCTTACCATGTTTCGGTGACAAAAAGGGTACTCCGGATCTGATCAAACTGTCAGAAGCAGGTACCACAAACTGGATTGGCTTCACACGCTTGTCCGTCAGGTTCCTGAACCCAGCTTGTTGGTTCTCAAATATACTCCGAATGTTTTCAAGCTTGAGTTGCACTGTCTGCATTTGCACCTACAGGTCGCGTAAGAATTCTATGAAGTGTTTTCTGAACTGGGCTCATTACAAATCTTATTACATTTCTCAGACTCAGTCAAAAAATTAATTTAGACTAGTTTAAAATGTAACTAGAAAAAATGAGGAAAGTAACAGAAAACAGATGAATGCAATGTCTTCACATGGTTATAAAACCCGAAGCTCTCAACCAAAACAACTTGAAAAAGCAATTTACTGGGGCTCCTGGGTGGCTCAGTCGGTTAAACACCCGACTCTTGATCTCAGCTCAGGTCACGATCTCATGGTTCGTGAGTTCGAGCCCCATATCAGGCTCTGCACTGCCAGTATGGAGCCTGCTTGGGATTCTCTCTCTCTGTTTCTCTCTCTGCCCCTCCCCCACTCTCTCTCTCAAAATAAGTAAACAAACTTTAAAAAATTATTTAAAAAAAAGAATAATAAAACAAAGAAATTTATCAAGCAGTCATGAAATCGGTCACTGTATAAAGTGCTTTACCCTTCATGGCTGGAACAAAGCAGGCATGATTAAGCACAACAAAGCCACCAAGGTAAGCACTGTCTTAGAAGTTTGTTATGTTGTAGCCCGCGGGACATTCTATAGCTCTCTGTGTTGTAAAAAGCTCCTCCTTGACTCTCCTCGATGATCTGAGGCAGTTGGTTTCGCTTGGTGGCTTCCAGAGAAATCACTTGGTTATTGCTATAGGCACGTTTCTGATTTTCTGGGGCATCCCCTAAGATGTGCAGCTAAGCACGGTTTTAGATACTGTTCCAATTAAGAGTCAACTACGCAGGGGCGCCGGGGTGGCTCAGTTAAGCGTCCGACTCTTGATCTCAGCTCAGGTCGTGATCTCACAGCTCGTGAGATCGAGTCCTACGCTGGGCTCTGCGCTGACGGCACGGAGCCTGCTTGGGATTTCTCTCCCTCTTTCTCTGCCCCTGTCCTGCTCGTGCTCACTTGCTAGCTCTCAAAAAGTAAATAGTTAAGCTTTAAGAAGTTAAAAAAATTTTCTTTTAATTAAAAAAAGATTAAAAAAAAAGGGGGGTCGACTATACAGTCTGGCCACAAATAGCATCACAAAAGCTCTGAGCTACAGTGTGGTGAGAGGGCTTCACGACATCTCCAACAGGGGGGCACCGAGCTAATCCACAGGTCCCTGCCTCATTAATACCAACATCTGTTGGCACCCCCTCCCCAAGAAGCTGAGTAGGAGAGCCAGATCTGTGTCCACAGAGCACCGGTGGTGGTCACGGCAGCAGAAAGACAAGACATTTGCCGTAGAATGCTCTCGACACGAACCCAGTGTTCTCCTAGGACAGCATTGGCCCCGTCTCCAAGGATGCACAAAACAATGGCACGTGAGAGCTCCTCACTCGTCACTCCTCATTACACAGCCAAGCATAAGCCTTTGGATTCTTTCCTTTTTTTAAAGTTTGTTTGTTTATTTATTTAAAGTAATCTCTGCGCCCAACATGGGGCTCAAACTCGTGACCCCAAGATCAAGAGTCACATGCTCTTCTGACCTAGCCAGCCAGGCTCCCCAAGCCTTTGGATTCTTTGATGCTTACCCGTGGGACTAATACCACCCCTCCTCCTTCAGAGAGCCGTGTAACTACAATTTGAATAAAGTTAGCTGTGAACTTGACTGGAATCATAGTTTTTAAAAAATGCGTTTATTTGGGGAAAAAAAAAATCACAACAGCCTCCTACCTTAAGCTCGGGTGATAAAATTACATCAAATTCATACTGTAGGGTATCAGGATCGTAATTGATAAAGGGCAGAGCCATTTCAAGAAAATTTTCAATGTCTTGGAGGGCTTTCTGAGCATCTTCTTTAGACTGAAACTTCTCTACTTCTTGGTTAGCTAGAAGGCATTCTCCTTCATCACAGCACTGATGAGCCTGGTGAGCAAATCACACACGCACGCACGCACGCACACAAAACCATGAATGAATAAACAGAAATATGTTCGCCTTTTAGGAGTGTTTAGCAGCCTCTGTGAATCAGAGTTGCTTCCAGAGCTGTTAAAAAATAAAGATACCTGGGTGCAGCCCCCAGAAATTCTGATTCAGTAGCTCTGGGCCCTAAGCCAGGCGTTCATAGCTCTGCAGAGCTCCACAGGTATTTCTGATGCACGCATAGCCAAGGCTGAGAAGCACGGTATTTTCTTTCACAACAAGGAATTCATTCTGCAGCGAGAGTCTGACCATTCTCTCAGCGCTAACACGTCAGCTGCGTGCTATTTTCCCCAAATCAGTAAGTGAAATATGAAACACCTCGCAAAATACATAGTGTCCTATAAATGTGTAGTGACCTGCCAAGGACAAGGATGAAAGTTTCCTTGCCAAAGAAGGAGGGGGGACAGGTTAAACTGTCCATGCTCAGATGCGATGTCTGTAAATGATATCCCTCGTTTACATTCCGCTTCCGAGGCCAGATCTTCCTTTCGCTGCCTCTTTCTGAAAGGGGTCAGACCCACAAGCCAGGGAGGAGTATTTTCCAGTCCCTGTTTAATTTCTTATTGCGGTAACTATGAAATGTGGAAGGAGTTTCTGGCGTTAGCAAAATGCCGCTAGGGCTGTGAAAAGTGTTCCGACTGCAAATTATCACCAGAGGAGAGGATGCAGAGATGTACCCAAAATAGAAAGGAAGCCATCGCAACCGTGATCCCAAATCATCAAATTCAATCCTTCCACCCCTTGCACATTCAACTCCGAGGCTATACCAGACCCTCACCCTAGAACGCAAAAGCAAAAACAAACGGTCTTCTTATTAAGAAATGTATCAGGTCTCACGACACTACCTGCTGCAGGAGTTTATGCATTTTGAAGATCCTGCTGAGCTGTATCCGTTTGGCTTTAATCTCATTAACCAAAATATCAGAAAGGTAACGGAGTTCATTGCACCTCTGGCAGATCAAATCAAGTGCATAATGGTGATTTGAAGCAAGTCTGTGTCCGTGTAATATCACAAAGCGGGCCTTTGCTAACAGATCCTAATTTTAAGAAAGAAGTAAAATAAGCACATGATCGCTGTTCAAATAGAGGAGGGGGCAAAAAGAAAGCAACTGAGAAGCAAATTGGCTTAAGCAGGGCGGACGGAGTGCCAAAAATATGATTGCATGTCATACTTCTGCAGGCTGTCAGAAAGCTCGGGGTTACAAGTAATTAGCTACGGCAGTGACGTCATCAGAAGCCCACGTGTTTCTGGTAACAGAAACAGAAAATGAACCAGCCTGCTCAGAGTGTGGACGAGATTTGCTTCTCCCGCTAGGTACAGATTTAGAACAGAACTGCATATATCAGATGAGGGACACACCAGCCAAACGAAAGCGGACGGATTTCGTGCCATCTCCGCTCTGGAAATCTCGTTAGAGTCAGCACCTGCCCGCCTCCTGGACGTCCTGAAGTGAACACCACGGGGCTCTCAAGTCCAAAGGGATCTTGGCGGCCTCGCCTCCACTCTACCAACGACTGGCATCCCGCCCCCCCGCACCCTGGTCCCCCACTTGCTCCCGACCTAGCAACTGAAAGAGCAGGAGGTCAGGAAATATTTGGCGAGGTAAAACAAGGAGAACTGAAGCCCGGAACGATGAAGTGACTGGCCTACCTAGCCGGGGGGAAACACAGGATTATAACAGGGAGTTATTTTTTTTAATGGGTACGGCTTCAGTTTTGCAAGATAAAAAAAGTTCTGGCAATCTGTTGCACCACAATGTGACTATAGTTAACGCTACCGAACCGTGTACTTAAAAATGGTTAAGATGGGGGCGGGGGCGCCCAGGCGGCTCAGTTGGTTAACTGTCCAGCTCTCGGTTTGGGCTCAGGCCATGCTCTTGCAGTTCATGGGTTCGAGCCCCGCGTGGGGCTCTGCGCTGGCAGCTCAGAGCCTGGAGCCTGCTTCCGATTCTGTGTCTCCCTCTCTCTCTCTCTCCCCCTCCCCGACTCGTGTTCTCTCTCTCTCTCTCTCTCTCTCTCAAAAATAAATAAACATTAAAAAAAAAACTAAAAAAAACCAAAAAACAAAAAACAAAAACCAGTGGCCTTGCTCTCTCATACAAGACAGAAGAGCAAAGCTAATTTGTTAACTGTTAAAGCCATGAGTCCAAGCTTTAAGACCAGCAAAGTGATCATCGTTTCGAGTACTTATTATACAACCACATTTCCCGGGTATTGTGCTAAGTGTTTTATCTACAACATCAAAAACAGTCCTCCCCTAATCATCCCGCAAAGTAGGCCACTTTAGCCCCAATTTATAGATGAAGACGTTGAGGCTTAGAACATTTAATCACTTTGCCCAGGGTCATGCGGCTAGTAAAACGAAGCAGATTTATCTGTCTGAATCCATATCTGGTTCAACTGCAGATACCACATGATGGGTATTTAAGAAGTTATGCTCTTGTACATTTCTATTGTTTCCAAGTAGCATTCCTGAGAGACATCTTGGTGGGCCTGAAACCGCTCACACGGTGACCTCAGAGACTGCCCGTTGCAACTACATGACACATCGGCAGGGTCACCTCTGGCCCACGTCGAATGGAAAAGAATACAGACCAGTGTTATTAAACCCATTACGTAGACTGTTACCAGGAAAAGTGAACCAGGAGGGTTCACGCTCCTGAAAAGCATCACAATGAACTATTACAATAGTGACCATCTGAGATGTCCTCTTACCTGAGAATTTTCATCTAAGTTTTCCAACTTTTTAATTTTTTGTTTTACTTGACCTAGGTTCCCGGTGACGTCTGCCAGCTCTGCTTGTTGGTTTAACAGAAGTTCGACTTCACTCACGAGCTGCAAATAGGAAAAAACCAAGGCTTTAAGCATACAAATTATTAAGCATTTTTCCTTTGATCATTTTTGTAGGCAGTGCTATTAAATAAGAACAGCGACATGGAAAAATCGCACACGTGGCAAACACTTCTGTCATTTTATTCCCAGGAATCGGTATAATCTATTAACACCCAACCTACTAGATATCAGTGTATACTCATGATCTGTAAATATCTCTATGTACATGTGTTGGCATGTATACGTGGGCACGTATGGAAGTCCGTGTATGTATACATATTTGCATATATACTCCCCAGCGCTATGGCGAGTGGTCCCAGGAAAGAAGGTTCCGCCAGTAGTAATTAGCAGCATACTTGGAACCCAGATCTTGGTCTTCCCTATCATATCCCAGAAAAAGAAACCAAGACTCCTCAGGAAAATGGCTGGTTCCACGGCTAAAGCAGAGGAGGTACAAGATGGGCTTGGAACATCTCTTTATGCCAGAAAGTAAAGAAGTGATAACCCGAAAAAAGTCTGGATGTGTCACAAGGGCACAGTAGCCAGTCAGAAACACCGAAATAGTTAAGAACAGTAAAGAATCACAAACCATGAAGAACTTCTGATGAGCAGGAAGATATTTGCATGACCTTAAATTTTCTCCCCACACGTTTCCTACTAGTTACAAGTGGGGGAAAGTCATTAGTGGAGAAACTCCACGGCAGCCTGACTGGGTAATCGAAATGCACATCAACGATGAAGGGCAGGTGGACTTCATTAACTCCCTTGGTTGGGGAGGAGAGAAAGATCGGGAAGGGCCAAGAACAATACCCTCGGCAGAACACATCGCTCATAGAGTATTCCTGCTGGTCATACAATGGTTAATCTAATCATAAGAAAACGTCAGACAGGGGTGCCTGGGTGGCTCAGTGGGTTAAGCGTCCGACTTCAGCTCAGGTCACGATCTCACAGTTCGTGGGATCGAGCCCCATGTCGGGCTTCTGTGCTGTGAGTGAGAAGCCTGCCTGGGATTCTCTAGCTCTCTCTCTGCTCCTACACACAGCCCCCCTCTCTCAATAAATAAATAAACTTTAAAAAAAAGAGAGAGAGAATGTCAGCCAAATGGAAAATGAGGAACATTTTATATTAAAAAGCACTGTGTTCTTCCGAAATGTCAGTGTCATAAGAGACAAAGAAAGGCTATGGAAATGTTTGTTCTAGATTAAAGGTGACTAGACAGGACAACTTATCCAACACCCAACCCTCTAAGACTGAGTCCTGTACTGGAGGGGGGTGGAAATGACATAAATGGCACTATTGAGCCAATTGATAAAACTGGAATACCAATGGTAGGTGATATAAAAGGAATGCATTATTGTTAAATGTCCTAAATTCGATAACTGTCCTGTGATTATGCAAGAGAATATTCCTATCCTGTAGATTCAAAAATATCTCAAGTTTGAGAATATCCAATTTTTCTGTACATCTGAATTTACGAATAAGACCGTTTTTAAGTGAACTTCCTAAATACACAGAACCTATCGACAAATCGCCATGAGATACAGATCACGTCAGTGAGGTTACGATCCAAGGAAAAGAACAATACCGATTAGAGGCAACAAGGATTTGAAGAAACAGAATGTAACTCCAGGTCAAGAACGTAGTATGGATGCAAACTAACACCGGAGTGGAGGGACGATGGGGCACATTCAGGAAGAGTGTTATCCTCACATGGATTCGGTTGGGGAGGAGGGAAAGATCTGGAAGGACCAAGAACAACTTGGCCTATTCTTTCTTTAAGGAAGGTTTCACAGAGAGCATGGCATTCCAAAATCTGTTTGAGTCACAGGAGGGAAAGGTCTGGCAATCCCGAGCCCTGTGTCCAGAATGCGGCACCCAAACCCAATTCTGCTCACACAGATGAAATACCAAGTAAGTAAGAAAGTCATGGGTAGAAAACAAGCCAGCCACATGTGAGAGAGAAAAGAGGTGAGTTTTCTTCGGATCTCCTGGAAAAGTACTATGAAAGAGACTATGTCGCTTGACCAAGTGTGATGTATTTTCCAGAAGCATCCGACTAGAATGTACTTTTAGCCTTTCAAATAATGCATAATTGAACACGATTTCATTTCACTCATCAGGCTTTTCATAGAAATAAATTACTGGATCAGAAAAAAAATGTTTTGGGGTGCCTGGGTGGAAGAGTCGGTTAAGCATCTGACTTCGGCTCAGGTCATGATCTCACGGTTCGTGGGTTCGAGCCCCACGTGGGGCTCTGAGAGCCCTCTCCCTTTCTCTCTGCCCCTCCCCCACCCATTCATTTTCTCTCTCTCTCTCTCAAAAATAAATAAACATTAAAAAAAAAAGAAAAATGTTTTTGTTAGGTCATATTAAATACGGTCAGTATATGGTATTAAAACAGCAACAACAACAAGAAGGAAGTGGGTATTATTTCCTTAGAAACCTAGTCCATAGCCTGAAAGCATTTTGTATGTAAAATGAGTTTCAAAGATAAACATCAGGGTGGACAGCAACTGAGTCCTCCTTACAAGTTCAGTGCTTTATCCCAGGAGATTAGTAAGCCAGAAAGACATCATGGCAGGGTTCGCTCACATTTGCTCCCTTTCCATCTCGCTCTGGGTGTCATTGGGCATCTCGTGAGACTGTACTTCTCAAGGAGCAAGTAAGAGCCGCTGGCAATAATGAAAAACCCCGTATAAAGGAATGTTTTAACTGACCTCTTGAAAATCCTGCTCAAACTTCCATAGTTGCAGATACTGCTCCATTTTTAGTTGGTGTTTTTCCCAAAATCCATCAAAAGCTATTTCCATATCATGTACTTGAGTCAGCAATCTTAACAAAGAAAAGTCGTTAGAATTCCTTCACACCAGCGATTTGTTCTGTAGGGAAGTACATAAATCTGGCCTGGACATTAAGAATTATAAGGAGGGGCCCTTGGGTGGCTCAGTCAGTTGAGCGTCCGACTTTGGCTCAGGTCACGATCTCGCGGTTCGTGAGTTCGAGCCCCATGCTTGGCTCTGTGCTGACAGTTCAGAGTCTGGAGCCTGCTTCGGATTCTGCGTGTGTGTGTGTGTGTGTGTGTGTGTGTGTGTGTGTGTCTGCCCCTCCCCTGCTTGCGCGCGCGCTCTCTCTCTCTCACTCTCTCTCACTCTCTCTCAAAAATAAATAATAAAAAAAATTTTTTTTTAAAAAGAATTATAAGGAAAGTCAGGGCACCTGGGTGGCTCAGTCAGTTAAGTGTCTGACTTCAGCTCAGGTCGTGATCTCAGGGTTCGTGAGTTCGAGCCCCACATCAGGCTCTCTGCTGTCACCACAGACCCCACTTTGCATCTTATGTCCCCGTCTCTCTCTGCCCTTCCCCCACTCACGTGTGCCTGCACACGTGCACTCTCTCTCTCTCTCTCAAAGCTAAACATTAAAAAAAAAGAATTATAAGCAAAGTCAGAGACCATGACACTTGGTCCACGAAGAGCCCATCAATGTCCACAGAACCTCTCCTACAAGCAAACTGATGTCTGTGAGACGAGGGAAGTTGTTCACAGATTCCCAAAGGTCCAGAAATACTTGCACACTTAAGAGACTGAAGCAAAATTAGAATTCCCGTTCAAAAGTGTAAGATAAGTAATTCCAAACCAATAGGAGAGTACTCACTTATTAACGGTTTGCCAGTCACCATTGATTTGTGGCCGACGTTCAAGTCTTGAACTGACGACATCTTCAATGCTAGGCACTTCCAGACTTGTGAGGAGGATTCTTCCTTCTTTGGTTACAGCTGTAATATCATTCTGGAAAAAGGCACGGTGGGATGAATTAGCCTGCTAGCAACCCATCCCGCATGACTTCATGACAAGGAAGCACACAGCTAGAGCACGCTATAGAAGAGAAACGGCAGTTCTAGAACGGCCTCTACTGAATCCGAAACCCATGAGGATTTCCAAGAAGCCTCTGCCTACTGAGACGGGTGTTGCGATCGCTATTTTTATAAGATCTTTATAGGCAGCAGTCCCTTGTGGTCCGGATGTAGTCTCCTTCTCTTACTGGTAGAAAGTTCTAACTCATTCTACTCTACTAATATTTTTAACGTGCTCTAATAAAGCAGTCGTAGCGTCATGAAGTCTACCACATTGGAAAGCATGCAGTTAACATAATATTTAATGCACATTCAGGGACAGGGAGATTGTTATCAACCGCCGCCTGCCATATTATGTTGCGTCACATTTGGGTTCATTAATTCCTCACAGAGCATACGCTGCTTTCTACTCAGAAGGTCTTAACCTTGGTGGGTAGATTCTTCGGGCATCTAAGAGTGAGCTATGACTCCCTTCAGGAAATCCAAGGGTCTTCTGAACTGTTAGGCAAAAATGTGGGTGTCCCTGTATTTGTCCGGGAACAGGTTCTAAGCCACCACCAATATAAATAAGAACATAATCACTGAGAACTAATATTTCCGGGGCGCCTGGGTGGCTCCGTCAGTGAAGCGTCCGACTTCGGCTCAGGTCATGATCTCACTGCCCGTAAGTTCGAGCCCCGCGTCGGGCTCTGTGCTGACAGCTCAGAGCCTGGAGCCTGTTTCGGATTCTGTCCCCGTCTCTCTGCCCCTCCCCTGTTCATATTCTCCCTCTGTCTGTCTCTCTCTCAAATACAAAATAAAACGTTAAATTTTTTTTTAACTTTTTTTTAAAAGTTTTTTAACTTTTTTTAAAAGCTAATATTGGGGCGCCTGGGTGGCTCAGTCGGTTAGGCGTCCGACTTCGGTTCAGGTCATGATCTTGTGGTCCGTGAGTTCGAGCCCCGCATCGGGCTCTGGGCTGACAGCTCAGAGCCTGGAGCCTGTTTCAGATTCTGTGTCTCCCTCTCTCTCTGACCCTCCCCTGTTCGTGCTGTCTCTCCCTGTCTCAAAAATAAATAAACGTTAAAAAAAAAATTTTTTTTTAAAAGAGCTAACATTTATGAAATAGTGGCTATGTGCCAAACGTGGTTGTACATATATCACTTCCTCCATTTCATCCTCACAACAACCCTACAAGGTACACACATATCGGCATCAACCTCGCTGTGCACGTAGGGCAACCGCAACTCAGAGAGAGGAGGCAAACTGCCCGATCACACAGCTTATGAGGGTCAGAGCTTTCTCTCCTGGAACAGTTATACTTTGAGATTATGATTCACGAGTTCAGTCTCTCTCCTCTTCATCTACAAACGTCCCCTCAAAAAGCAATTCAAACTAAAATACAAGTGTCGTCTCTACACAGAGCTCGTATCCGAGCGCCGCCGCCCCACCGCCACCCCCCCACCCCCCGCCCCAGAAGGACATGAGTGATAGAGCCTGGTGCTGCTTGAGATCATTCTTCAACTTTCGGGAGAACGTGCATCTCAAAGTACTTGGTGATTGTCTGAACTGTGACTCAGAATCCTTCACAACCCAACACTCCAGACAACTGGGTAGGAGGCCAAAGTCAACTTGCCATCTAAGGTCTACGGTAGAAAACAAGAAAAGCTAGTACTCTGGGGATGCCTGGCTGGCTCAGTCGGAGCTCGTGACGCCTGGTCTCAGGGTCGTGAGCTCAAGCCCCGTGCTGGGCGTGGAGCCTACTTTCAAAAAAGGAAAAAAAACAAACAAACTAGTACTCTGTGCAAAAGAAAGCTTGTGATCAATTTAACAATGTTTGCCTTGGTCGCAGGCCCCCTGACTCCTCATCTGGTTCTCCTTTTCCACTTCACGTCGCACCTGGGGTGGGCGTAAAACTAGAACACCCATCTGCCTTCTGATTCTCCAGCTTTCCAAATGAGCGGGCCTTTTGAAAAGGTAAAGAATCCGTGATAACAAAGAGGACTGTAGACTTCTTATTCTGGGGCAGCATGGACTCTTCCATTAACAAATAAAGAACTTCTCAAGAGAATGCACCAGTTACAAGGGGGCCACTTACGTTCAACAGATCCGGGCCATTTTCCCCTTGTGGGTCCCCCACCCACCAATCAGTGTGAAAGGCACGTGCGCCGTAAAAGAAAGGCCATGGGTCGTGGTTGTTTGTTGACGTTTTCAGACATACCTTTAACATGTGATACCTCTCGGCACGAAGCGCAAGGATTTCTTCTATTGAAGGAATATCATCTGGCAGTTCTGTCTCCGCCAGTTCAGTTCCAAAGGACTGCAACATCTGAGCCATTTCCTTCACTGTGAGAGCAAAATTTTCTATAGCCTGCAAAGACCCAGTGATCCTTTTAATTCCATGGAAACTGCCAGCACATCAATACCTAGATCAGTAACTGTACTCACTTTCATCTAGGTATGACAACAAGCACATATACTATGACCTCTCTTCTGCTAAGGAAAGTTGGCATTGCCCTTGGCAATCAACGCTACCTTTGTAGCTAAGCCTCTACGAAACTGACGTGAGGTTAAAGAGTCTTCTTGAATGTCTTTTATCTAAACTTCTGTACTCATTTCTTGAACGCCAATGAGAACAATGTCTTTGTTTTAAAGTTTCTTTCTTTTTTTCTAGTAATCTCTACACCCAGCGTGGGGCTCGAACTCACGACCCCAAGACTCGAGAGTCGCGTGCTCCTCCGACGGAGCCAGCCAGGCGCCCCTGAAAACAATTTCTTAAAGATGCCGTGGACTGAGTCATTCACTTTCTGACTTTGTTTAGGTCTATCCCATTAGACCCTGCAAATGTAAAATTACTTTATACTAACTTTACTTTGGAAGAGAACATCAAAGCCACCGGACATTTATTATAACTTATGAGCAAGCATTAGCATTCCAACAAAGCAATGCACAAGGGTGATGGGGGAACAAACTGGCCACAACAATTCATTCAGGCACAAGACTTGAAATTGTGATCGCGAAGGTTCGGTCGCCCTCAAATGTCAAGTCGCGTTGCGCTGTTGATTGTTTCCAAAATCAACTGCTCAGGAAGAGAAAAGTGGGGTGGGGGGGTGGGGGGGCAACCCGTAGAGACCTTATAAACCCTCTGCTTACCATGCAGCTCGAGGTGATCTGCTCTTTCGTTTGCAGTTTTAGAGGTTATGAAAGGCTAGACACTAATTTTGACGATACGCTTTCGTATGAACAAAAAGAACTGCTGAATGACAAAGATGAGGAAAACAGGATCCTGATTGAATGAGAAATCATTTCCTTCAGAAGGGTTCCCTTATCGCTGGGATCTGGGACAAAGATTCTTCTAGTATAAACTCACATCTGCGAGGCACAGGGTCTTTGCCTATTTGCCAATTTCTAGAACCGAACGAAACTCTACTGTAATCCTAACTGCCTCAGAAGCATCGCTAGGATGACATGAATCGTATTACTTAGCATGTTTTGAGGGCTTGTCATCTGTTAGGCACTGTGCCACACAATTTACATTTGTTATCTCATTTAATCTTCCCAATATCCCTATGACGTAAAGTAGTATTATTCCCATTTTATAGTTGGGAAAACTGAGAGCCAGAGAGGCTATATAGCGTGCACAAGGTTACACAGCTAAAAATCAGCAGTGCTGAGGTCTGAACCCAAAACGCTTTGTTTCTCCAAGTTACTACATGGCCACCGGAGGCAGTGGACAGAGCACGATCGCCTTACTCCCTAGGCCTCTCCTTCAATTGCCATCCTCAGTGCCTCTTCATCATTTCTAGATATTTCCTAGGGAAGAAAATCAAGATGTTGAATTATATGTGTTTGAAAAACAGGAGCCGCAGCAAGCTGTCTTTCCCAAAGAGGAGAACAATGCCGGAACTAGATTTTAAAGGCTAATATGAACTACAGGCTCTACAGTAAGAGCAAAGGCAACATACATTTCTGAAGATGATCCATTCACTGTTGGAGTACTGCAAGGTGCCGCCTAACTCAGGGGTTAACTGCTTGTCATCAATGTATGTCAGCAAATCACTAACTGAGCTCAGCATAACCACCTATATAAATAAGCAAGAGAGATACTGTTAACTGCCCTTCACGGCATCCCTCCATTCAACTGTACAATGAACTTCAGCATTTCCTTAGCACAAAGTTACCTTTTGCAAATGGTTCTAATAGTTCTCTCCTGTACGCCCTCCCCCGCCCACATCCGTCTGCACTACGTTCTTTGGTAATAACAGTTTTCACATACGAAACATTTCTCTGTAAAGCAAAGTTAATCTCCATAGAAACCCAAATCGCTGGTTCTCCTTGATCTAAAATTTTGCATTATTAATGGCCAACCTTCCGAAAGAATGTTATGCCTACAACGGAGGAAAAGGGCTTTCTGTAGTAAGTTATAACTTATCAGGAGGGGCTGATCTTCGCAAAAGTACCATAATTTACAAGGACTCTATCCCTAACCCTAAATAAACGTATAAAAATATATTTAAAAAAAAAGATCATGGTACTATGAACTAGCTCAGGATGCTAAGTTCATGGGAGTTCAAATACGTAAAACACATGCTCATTTTTTCCCTAAAAATAAAACGTCCTGATTTTATACACACACGCACACGTGCATATACACACACATAAATAACGTAGGTGACATATATCTCATTCAACAGGGATTGCTTTGTTACAAATTGACGAAACTCTTCCTTTAGTTTAACAATAGAAACAGAAGACTTTGGGGGATTTCAAGTTTGTAGTTTGGGAAGACAAATTCTATTTCTTTTCTTTCAGATGCTTTGTGAGCACGGGTAAAGCATCAACAGCATGGTACAAAGTCCTCACAAGAATTAAAGAGACAAAACATTTAAACAATATACTCTTACTGGTAACTTCAGCATGAAATCCTCCTGACTAAATCGAAATCCAATGTCTGTGAAAGTCCTTTGAAGAAAACTGCTGGGACGTAGAACCAACACCAAGTGCAAGTTCCCAGGAAAAGAAACCTACGGAAAGGAGAAACGCAGGAAAGGAAGAACAAATCGTCAAAACGTGCACTCGACTGAGCACGTATCAGAAAATACGTAATTAAAGGAAACCGTTTTTAAAGCAATAAAAGCCACTAGAAGGACAAAACTTTAAAAATGGATATTGATACAATCTAAAAACTTGGAAACAGAAACAGAACTAATGTAAGGTCATCAGATCAGACCCTTGCAATGTTCATGGCGGGGAATTTTCTCACACAAAAGTAGATCCCAAGTTAAGAAGAACTATACTTTTTTACAAAATAAATCTAGGTTTTTATTTTATTTATTACCTTTTAAGCTTATTTCTATTTTAGTCATCCCTACTCCCAACATGGGTCTTGAATTCACAACCCCAAGATCAAGAGTCACACGCCCTGTCGACTGAACCAGCCAGGCTCCCCACGAACCATACCCTAAAACTTCATTTTTTTTAAAAAAATGTTTTTTAATGTTTACTTTTGATGGGGAGGGGGACAGAGAGAGAGAGGAGACACAGAATCCAAAGCAGGCTCCAGGCTCCAAAGTGTCAGCAGAGAGCCCGACGCGGAGCTCGAACCCATGAACTGTGAGATCGTGACCTGAGCCAAAGTCGGACGCTTAACCGACTGAGCCACCCAGGTGCCCCTGAAACATCATTTTAAAGTTAGTCATTTGTATTTGAATTGCATTTATTCCCTGTGAAACGGAATTAGAACGCAGGTTCCTAGGATAACCCCAAAAGTCAAAGGGAGCTTAAACATTGTATACATGTACTAAGCAATGGAAGAAACCTGTGATATGGAATCATATTTTTATTTTCATCCAAGCAACATTCACAGAGTCTCTTCTACATGTCCATTCCATGTACCTAAGCGAACGACTGTCGCGCACTGTTAGCAGTCGGTGTCCCCAAATTAATAAGATGTAGTCCCTACCCAGTTTGCAAGAAAATCAGTCTAATAGTGCAGTCCATTAGTAATCGTTAACTCTATAGCACAAGTTGATAAGTGAAACAAAGGAAGTAGAATAATCCACAACAGACGGTCAAAACGGTCTGTTTGAAGCCTAAGAAAAGGAATTACTTAGATCAGAATGTCATTCTGGTGCACCAATGTTTTCCCCGTTTCCAGAATACGGACATGTAGGTGGTCAAGAAACAGTTGCTGAAAGAAAGACAAGGAGGGTGGGCGCCTGGGTGGCTCAGTCAGTTGAGCGTCTGACTCTTGATTTTTGCTCAGGTCATGATCTCACAGTTCACGGGATCGAGCCCCGCATCAGGGTGTTCGGTGACAGCATAGAGCCTGCTTGGGATTCTCTCCTTCCCTCTCTGCCCCTTACCCACTTGTGCTCTATCTTCAAATAAATAAACATTTTTTAAAAAGATAAGGAGGGGACGATGGAAAATTAGCAAGACAACAGTATGGCCCAACGTTAATAATGAACTACCATATATCAAATGCTTACTCTATGCCAAGTATTTTGCCAACGTTATCATAGTTCCTCTTCATAATAATCGTGTGAGGTAGTTAAGTTAGCGTCTTTTACAAATAAAGCAAGCGGGGGCGCCTGGGTGGCTCAGTTGGTTGAGCGTCCAACTTCAGCTCAGGTCATGATCTCACGGTTGGTGAGTTCGATCCCCACATTGGGCTCTGTGCTATCAGCACAGAGCCTGCTTCAGATTCTCTGTCCCTGTCTCTCTTTTTCCCTCCCCTGCTCGCTCTCTCTCTCTCAAAAATAAATAAACATTAAAAAAAAAAAAAAAGACAGAAAGAAACTGAGGCTCAGAGAGTTTAACTTGCCCCGGCTGGTGAAGTCTTAATCTATGCCTGCATCAGGGCTCTTTTTTTTTTTTTTAATGTTTATTTTTGAGAGAGAGAGAGAGAGAGAGGCAAAGAGAGAGGGAGACAGAGAATCTGAAGTGGGCTCCTCACTGACAGAGGCACAGCCCAATATGGGGCTCCAACTCCAACCGCGAGATCACGACCTGAGCCGAAGTCGGACGCTTAACCCACTGAGCCACCCAGGACTAGATTTGGACAAGAGTGGAGGCAGACAGACGAGCTAGGAGGTGGGTATTAACAAAAAGAGGAACTTTCACTCAGGTTTAAGACCTAGACTCTTGGGAAATACACGTTTGAAACTGGGGATATTTTAAATTCAGTTTGAGGGGTGGCTGGCTAGCTTAGTCGGTGGAGCGTGAGACGCCTGACGTCGGGGTTGTGAGTTTGAGCCCCACGCTGGGTGTAGAGGTTACTTAAAAATAAAATCCGTAAATACAACTTGAGACGGTGATAAAGCATCAACAGTTAAGTGGCCATGAGAACCAGAGCAAGGGAAGAGGACCGAGTGGGAGACTCACAAATAAGTGAAAGAGGTCAAAATGAAATCAATAAATTAATCAATGATTATAAACAGACACAAATCGGGCTGGCTGTCCAACTCCGAACTCCCCCAGGCGGCCGTGCCTCTGCTACCCTCTCCCTTCAGGAGAGACTTCTTCCCCTCTCTCAGGTACTAAATGGTTATGTCCCCCAAAGTTTGTGCTGAAACCCAGCCCTCAATGTGAGGCTGGTAGGAGGAGAGGCCTTTGGGAGGTGCCTGGGTGATGAGAACGGAGCCATCATAAGGGGACTAGTGCCCTCATAAAAGAGACCCCAGAGAGACCCCTCACCCCTCCTGGAGCCTGCTTCAGATTCTGTGTCTCCCTCTCTCTGCCACCCTCCCCCGCTCCCACCGTGTCTCTCTCAAAAATAAAGATTTAAAAAAAAAAAAAGAACTGTGATCTTCCTACATGACCTTGCCCTCCTAACACACAGCGATTAGTAGTGGGATGAAGTCCTGCCCTGGGATTTTTCACACCAGTGTTGAGGGAAGAACACTTTGAGGGTGCGGTTCCAGAGCTGCTGGTCGCCGTGAACCTGCTGGAGAAAACTTACTTCAAAGCATGCAGCTAACATGCGTATAGAACCAGAAGCAGAGACAGGGTCCCAACGATGCCTCTATGATGTACATAGTGTGTATTTTATGTTAAACATGGTACGTACTTCCTATAGTTATCGTAAGAATTAAATTAAATAATGAACACAGAGGAACTTTGTTAAGCCCAAAAAAAAAAAGAAGATAGGCTTTAAATTTTACCTTGCATTCTTGGATCTAAAGACAAGTAGGCTTAGGTAGAAAACTTCCAGGATACTGATAAAGGCTTGCTTTTTTTTTTCATTTGTTTAAATTCAAGTTAGTTAACATACATTGTCGTATTGGGTTCTTTTAAGTTTTTTAATTGACTTAGGGAGAGAGAGAGCGCGCACGCGTGCGCGCGCAGGGGAGGGGCAGAGAGAATCCCAATTCTCCCTCGATGCAGGGCTCGATCCCACGACCTTGGGATCCCAACCTGAACGGAAATCAAGAGTTGGATGCTTAACCGCCTGAGCCACCCAGGGGCTCTGATAAAGGCCTGCTTAAAGGGGAGACTCTGACAGAGCCTTGGGAGAACTCCGGACCTATTTTTAAATTTTTTTTTTAATGTTTATTATTTTTGAGAGAGAGACACACACACAGAGCGCGAGCGGGCCAAGGGCAGAGAGGGAGACACAGACTCCAAAGCAGGCTCCAGGCTCCGAGCTGTCAGCACAGAGCCCGACGCGGGGCTTGAACTCACAGACCGCGAGATCATGACCTGAGCTGAAGTTAGTTGCTTAACCAACTGAGTCACCCAGGTGCCCCTCTGGGCCTATTTTTAGATAGAAAGCATAGATTCTACTTCGATGCCATTTGCTTTAGGAGTTAAGCCTCTCCTTCTTCTTCACACGGGTAAGTTCCCAAAACCATTATACTTTCCTGCCTTGACCCAGCTGCCTTTCCACTTTTTTTTTTTTCTTTCAGATGGAACTGAAAGCACCCGACCTCTGTCAACACTTAGGGCAAAATGTGTTTTGTTCTTTCATGGACCCTAGGTTGATCTGGTCTCATCATCTTTTTCTCTCGGACTTTCCTTAACACCATAGTCTCTGGTATCACATAGGAAATCTCTAGGTGGCCCTGAGCCTGACCAACTTAAAGCCATTGGTCTCTAGCCTGCCACGCCCGGGAGAGCAAGGTTGTCCCAGCACCTAGGTCCAAGGTCCATCACACGGCAGGGAACAAAGGAGAGAGGAGAGAAAAAGCAGAATCACGGTCTATAGAATCCACAGGGAAGCAAATCCAGGCAGGGTTTGGGGGTGCTCCACTGCTTAAAAGTCAGGGATGTTATATAGCTATTATTTTTAACATTTTAATTTTTTTTTCAACGTTTTTATTTATTTTTGGGACAGAGAGAGACAGAGCATGAACGGGGGAGGGGCAGAGAGAGAGGGAGACACAGAATCGGAAACAGGCTCCAGGCTCTGAGCCATCAGCCCAGAGCCCGACGCGGGGCTCGAACTCCCGGACCGTGAGATCGTGACCTGGCTGAAGTCGGACGCTTAACCGACTGCGCCACCCAGGCGCCCCAGCATTTTAACCATCTCATTTAACTGTCTCGTTTACTTATTTATTTCTTCATCTATTTATTTATTTAAGTGATCTCTTACACCCAACGCGGGCCTTGAACTCACGACCCTGAGACCGAGAGTCGCACACTCTTCCGACTGAGCCAGCCAGGCGCCCCCGTTTACGGAATCAGTCATTGCCTATATTTGACAAAGTGATTTGCCCCAAACATGGACACCTGGAAAAAAAATCCTTCTAAAGAGAATTCTACATTCTAATCATATCATGCTTAAGGAAAACTTCCTGATTACTCTGCCATACGTTGTCCTTCCTTAATTCCTTCAAAATGTTTAGGGATTCACTTGTGGCCAAAAGCCCACAAAAATTAGCATTTTAAAAGAAAATGCATCATCAAGGATGAAAACTTCAGTTATTGCCTGCATACTTGCATTTACAGTGTTTTTCATGATGGGATAGGTAGAGAATCTTTATTTCGCGACCACACAGATCGTCCTGGAACACACGGGCTC